CTAGGTAGCGCTGCGAGCATGAAAAGTGAAAAGAAAATTATAATTTTATGTAGCATTTAACCTATAAAATGTTTATGGATTAGTGTGTCTTCTCATGCGCGTTATAATTACCGTTTATGCCAGTTGTCGCCGGCGCTTTTGCTGCTTTTGCGCCACCAATTCCGCCCAGTGTTGCTGTCTTTGCTGTGTTGCTGGGCGGCAAAGCACCTATAAAATGAATAAAAAATTATGGCAACTATATTAGTACTTCCTGCCTGTGAAATATTTGAGTCAAATTTGACAAACAAAAAACTGTTTTTATCAACATGTTCCACAAATCTCTTATACTCACTTCCTTTGCTCCCTACAGACGAAGCTCTCAGACGGTTTGTGTTTGTGCTAAGTGTTTCAAGTGGAATTGTTGTTGCTATATTTGTTTGTGTAGCTAACGGTGTGTTGTGTTGCAGTGCAAATTGTGTTATATCTGTTTTCTGTGGCAGTGTCTGAGCTTGTTGTGTTGTTGCTTGTGCTTTCAGTATTGTGGACTGTATCCTTTCGTTTTGTAGCGCCAGTTTTCTTCTCTCCTGCGCTCTTTGTATCGCTTCTTGATCTTTCAGCGATGTTGGCAGAGTACCTTCTTGGTTTCGTGTTGTTGCTTGTGTTTTCTGTGCTGTTGTTTGTGCTTTTTGTGGTGTTACCTGCAGGATTTGTGCTTTTGTCCCTGATCCCAACTGTGTCGTTTGTGTTTGCTGTGTTGTTTGTGGTGCCTTCGCGTTTTCCTGATCCCTTTTTGTTCCTTCCGGTGCTCTCTGTATTACTTCTTTTGTATTCTGCTCTAATAACGGTACCTTTTGTGTTAGTGTGTTTGCTTTTTGTCCCACTATTTGCGCTGTTTGTACTACTCTTGGTTCTTTCTGTACTCCCCCTAGTGTATTTTGTGTTGCTACCTGCATCTTTTGCACACCTTTCGAACGGTTCTCGCTAACTGTACTCTCTCCTCTGTTCCTATCTATTACTACGGCTCCCCCTACCTTTGTTGGTACTCTAACTTCTGTTCCTTTCAATTTTGTTTCAACTTGTTGCACCTCTTTCAGCACTTGTGGTAAAACCTGCGGAATTACATGCTTACCAATTTGTGGAGCTTCTTCTGGCGCCAGCGGCTTTGACAAAGGTCTTATGCCGTATTTTTTATCTTCTGGTTTTCGCGTTGTTGTTGTCGTTGTTGGCACATTGTTTTTGATAAAACAACCCGAACAACCTTGCACGCTGAAATTATGTTTCTCGACTGGTTTTGGCTTGGCGCGTTCTGTTGTTGTGGTGGGTGGTGCAATGGCCTTTGGCGTCGTCGATTTGGCCTTCGGTCTTACAATCATTTCGATTGTCTCTGCGGAAGTTGAAAATTGTTAAAAATTGTGTTGTTGTAAGAAATTTCACTTACTTGGATGCTCTTCGTAGGGATAACTACGCATGGCTAATATACGGAATTTGCCTTCCTCATCGGTAGCATAGACTGTCACGTGATAAATGCCATCGGCGGTTATGAAGCCAAATTCGCCCATAACTATACCGCGCTCATCTAAATAAGTGGAAAAATAAAAACAAATATGTACACACATATGTATGTATAAAAACAACGTAAAGCTGTTTTAAAGTTCAATGCCGAATTTACGCTTTTTTAAAAATTTTCTAAAGTAGTAAAATTATATGGAATGGGAATTGTACTATATGAAATTGTTTTTAAGTGAATTTAAAATTTTTTAACCCAACCTAGCGGTTGCCTTTTTAAATAAACGAAATACTGACTTATGATTTTGAGTGAGCTTTAATTTACTAGCATTAGGCTGGTACGTTAGCTTGATAAGAGAGGGATACAATCGACCTAAGGTCGCAGTGCGCATTCTATAACAGATATAATCTAGATTGTTAAGAACTGAGAGTGAGAGGAACTTTGGATAACAAAAAAAAAAAAAAATGGCTCCTCGAGACAAAATCATCGACTTATCATACTTTAATATCCGACTGTAAATGCCGAATGACAAAGTTAAATATTTTTTTTCGAAATTGCCTTGCAAAGTATGTACTTTAGATTCAAAGGTGTAAAACGGACTATTTTTCTGGTACAGCCTAGTGCATGCTTTTATTAAGTAAATTTTTCTAGGAGTGTCGAGTATAAATAGAACATACATCCATTTGTACATACAAAAATATTTGTTTACTTTGGTGTGGCTAAAATACAGAAACACCTTTTGGTACATGCTGTTTATATTTAAAATCGAAGTATTGCTATGTCAAGTTTTTAAATATGCGCCATCAAATGCTAGACTTGCTGCATTATTTACTTCTTCTAATTTTTGCAGATCGAGAGAGTACGATTTTAGACGTAAGTATGTATGCACTTTATGGCTTCCAGAACTCGTTCAATTAGCAAAATATATATCGTACTAAATTTAATGTATTTTCACATTCCTCTTTTTTTTTGTTTATAATTCTTAGAATATCGCTCAAGAACTGTTTGATCATTTGCCGAATTAGCGATAGTCTTTTTAGGCAATGCAACTTTATAGATCTGAGTTACTAATTTCATAATGCATCGCCGTAAATGCTAGGAAGATAACTGGATATTATTATTCCATCATAAAAACCAGTAAATATGTGTAAACAAAAATTTATTCGAGCATTACTTCTGCAAATTTATTCAGTCTTCTCTTTACTTTCTTATTGCTTTTAACGCGTAGTGAACAAAACATATAAAACAATGCGGGGTAAGTACTTGTAATTTGATGAAATGCAGCATAATCGATAAAAAATTTGATTTTGAAATTTTTTGTTAGTTTCGGCCTTTTGCATTTTATTTCGACAAAGTTTCATCAAAATTTTGAACTCTTTAATTATATTTCTTAGAAATACTCTGAGTATGCAGTTTTCTAGCCCATTCAATTCAAAGTGCAAGTTAGAAGTAGCTAGGATTTACCGTTAATTTTTGGTAAATATTTTTTGTGAAGGTGTTGCTCATATTTCTATACAAAAAAAAAATTCGTTGAACATATTTTGTATGGAATAAAAAATTGCCAAATTGCGTGGACTTCATCATACTAAGATTTAATAGGCTACAAAATTGCATACTTAAGACAATCTTAGAAAATTTGATTAAAATGTTTAAAATTTTGATCAGCATTTGTTCGAATTTGTCTAATTTTTCAAAGTTTGAAATTTTGAATGTATTAAAAGAAGTTATGTCGTTTTATTCTAAGAACAAATTTGTAGGTTCGGATTCGATGCTCTAGAAATGTCTCGATTTTTGTCCACAGAAATCTGGTCACCGTAGTCATACGCCAATTTAAAAGCTGCAACCCTTGTAAAACAACAACAATACAAAAGCGCTCAGCTGATTAAATTAATTTTAGAAAAATATAAATGTGCAGATATATTTAATTAGTATAAAAAGCAAAGCATAGCACTTTACTTTGCGTACTATTTAATACTCAATGGATTGTTTAAAAATAAACAGTAAATTTGGTGTATTCCAGAAGCACTTATTAAGCGGCTAACTGGTTTTGAAGAAAGCTCATTAAAGTTTATTGTGATTTTATTTTCAATTACGAAATGTTCTCGAAGCGCTTGGAAGGTGCCAGAATTTTTTTTTTTTTGCACATACATATATACATACATATGCAATAAAAGGTAATGTAAGCATACAATTGACCTAATTTGGTAATGTAATTAGGTGCTTGCTGATTGGGCTTAGAAACAATTTTTTTTATAGATATTTATATAACATAGCCGAATATTCGAAGAAGCGTGTCTTATTACTGGGCTACATGCCAATTTTACTAAGTTGTGGGCACATACATAAATATACCCAGTCGGAAAAATTAGAAGCGTTTCTAAATAAAAGCCTTCAGGAAGGGCTTTTTCAATAACAACTTCTCTTTGGAAACTTTAATAGATGATCTTCCAATAACGCAGCCATTCGAAGGTAGATGAGAAGGAGGGTTTCTACGGCAGCGAAAGTCAAGTAATATAAAAATAAAAATCGCAGCAGACGAGTCGGTGTGTGTCTACTGCAAAGTTAAATTCAAACTGTTTCATGACTAATTCATGTAAGTTTTTTCCTTTGAAGGGCAGCTGAATCAGAAGGCCTCGAAACTCTGGAAATTTCATACAAAATGAAAAGGAATAAAGTGTCCAAGACGGAAGGCCTATCGGTTCACTAGATACGAAATAAGAGCTCCCAGAAGGATTCTTTTTTGTAATTTTACCGGCTGCGTATACATATGTATGTATGTAGTTATGTGTCAAAAAGTGTTGTGACTCAACAATGAGAATATTTATTATATCTAACTTAGTTTTGAGTTCGAAAGAAAGCTTTCAGGCACCGTTACTTCAATAAATAAGACTTTTGTAGGCTGTCATAGGAAATCTTCCAATAATAGAATCAATCGACGGAGGCGTGGGATTGCGTGCATGAAGAAAAATTAAATTTGGGTTGCCTCGATTTTATTTCATTTACATAAATTTTCCCCCTCCAAGGGAAGCTGAATCAGAAATCTTGGAACTTTACTTGGAGTTCCTACCGCTTCAAAGGTTCAGAAATAATCACTCTCTTTTCTTTCTTATTTATCCGCCTGGGTTGTTATTGTCTCGCCACATACACTAGTACGATACATTTTTTCTCCAGTCTGTTTGTTTGTTATATGTGTGTGTGTTATTTTTCTATATTACCAAATGAATGCGCTCGTGCCTCAAATTATTTCTCAATAAATCACAACAAAATAGCTACCTAGTGTTCATTGATGGCAATCACATACTATCTTAAATGCATAACGAATTATCAATCAATTTCCAATAAAATTTTATTTACTAACCCACTAAAATTAGTCAAAGCCGGTTTTATTGTCAAATGGTGCCATTTTTTCCTGGTTTTAATTTCAAAATATTGTTATGCAAATGTGACAGTGTCAATATGAGTTATGTTATAGTCGAATAAGCACGAATTTTGTCTAGACCATTTTAAATAACACTTGAGTACGCAATTCTTTACCTATTACTTATTAATGCATAGCATATTTTATGAAAAAATTAAATAAAAAAATTGAACTTTGTAGTGTTCTTTGGTGATGTTATGATGTGTCTTAGAAAAATGTCGAAGCAACTGAGTCGAACGGTACAAACTGGTATTTATTTGTTTATAAATGCTACGATTTAATAATAGATTTACTTACGTAACTATGTGTGTGTAGATTTTAAAAACATTACACCGTGTCACAGTAAATTTTACACACAAAAAAATTAATATACTCGCAAAACTATGGGTAAATTGCAGTAAAACGGCGTACTTAGTTTTTCTCTCTGACATCAGGATTTTTTTAAAGGACCTTGAAATTCAAAAAATATGATATCTTCCAAAAATTATTTAAAAAATTCGGTGCAATGTAGGATAACAAAAAGGGTATCATATGAAATAAAAAATCTGTGGAATTACAACAGAATAAATTTTCCGGAGCATGAGAACGAATGGGTATAGAAAATGTCCTTTCAAAATTTCGTGCTAAAATATCCTGGAAAATTTGCAATACTGTTTTTTTATGTAGTGGTTATTTGAGGACTAACATACGCACGACTTCATCTACGAATTTCGTCATTTAAACTTTATTAACATAAAAGGCTAAAATTTATTAAAAGCACATTTTCCATACCTATTCGTCCTTGTAAACCAAAAAACTTTCTGGTTTTTAAATTCTACAGGATTTTCTCTCTCATTTGGTACTTAAATGGTTATTCTAAATTGCACTGATTCTTTTTTTTTTTATAATTTTTTGAATTAATCATATGTTTAAAATTTCAAATTCCTTTGAAAAAAAAATCTCGACGTCAGAGTGAAAAATTAAAAACGCGGTTTTACTATATTTGGCCCATAGTTTCGTGGGTATATCGATTCTTTTGTATGTTTTGAAATTTTTTTGGTTTGGTCGCTCGCTTATTTGCATAACCATACCGATAATGAAGGATTATCCTTGTAAAATATAATTTGACTATAATATTGGCAAACGTTCATAGGAATTAAAGTTTTCTTAGGTAATTGAAAGCAAACAAAAGAAGAAAAGAAGTCCTTTATACATACATATGTATAGCATTTGGAAAATTTAACATCTATGCTGTATACCGAAAATTAAAAAAAAAAAACTAAATTTTGGTGAATCTTTTTTTATAATATTTAAATTTTTTTTTTAATTTTTTTTGTTTCGTTTTGGGAGAACCCTGCAATTGCTTTCAACTAGTTTTTATTATGTAACATTTATTACCTGGAACAGGAGAATCGATTTTCTGCAAATTTGCTAATTTTGCTGGAATTTATTTAATTAAAAAATTGAAAACCCTCGCTCAACTGGTCTCTTGCAAATTTTATTAGCTTTCAATAAAAAAAATTCTCAAATTGAGTGAAAAATGAAGGCTCCAGTGAATTGTGAGCACAAAATGCCAATTTTGAATCTAAATTGCTGCGGCTAAGCTGGCTTAGCCATGTCGTTCGAATGGACACCAACGCCCCATTCAACTCGGATCCCGCTGGTGGTAACAGAAGAAGAGGAAGGCCTCCTTTGCGTTGGAAACACCAGGTGGAGAAGGACTTGGCTTCTCCATGCGAAGGATAAAAATTTTCCGTAAATAGATTAGGCTCGGCTAAGCCAAACAAAGCTCAAAGTGTTAAAACAAATTTTTTTCTTAGCTTACTTCGATCGACAATGTAATTCTCAAAAAAAATTAGTAAGTTTTGTACAATAATTTAATATTTGTGTGCAAAAAACTATTGACAAGTTGCTTATTTTACGGAAAGATAAATTTTCTACAAGGAGCTAACTTTATGAAATTATTTGCCATTAATAGTTCCTGAGATGATTGCGATTTTTTTCGCATACGGTATTTCTGTCCATGAACGAAATATTTATTGGTGAAAAATAATTAATAAATTACTAATTAGGTACATCGAAAAAAAATATCAAAACAAAAAAGTTCTATTTTATGAAGAAAACACACTTGAAGTATTTGTTTTTTTTTAGATTTTTGGTAAAATTAAATTTAAAGTCTTATTATTTAAGCGTTAAAATATTGGTAATGACCACGGACATAAAAAAATAGTTGTTTTGGTAAAGAGTTAAATTTGGGAACGAAGTAAGTTAAGAAAAAAATTGTTTAAGCACTTGGGCGAGTCTAAGATATTGTACGCAAAATTTTCAACCTTCTCAAAAATTTTTCAAAGCACAATAAAAGTTCTAAAAAAAGATAATATATACCACATTTATACAATTCGATTGAAAATTTATTTGTTTTTAATCATTTGCCGACATTTCAGATTCGCACTCATGTAAAGATTTTTGCAATAAAACTTCTTAAAATACAACAAAAATATACACTGGAGATACAGAAATGTGTATACATACAAACATAAGTTGTATCCTTATTTGCACAACAATCGCTACAAATTAAAGAGCCAGCTTCTCACTTTCGCCTCAAAACCTGTATGTTTTTTTTTTAAACATTTCTAATTTGCATTTAACTTTTATTGTACCAGTTTTTACTGTGGTATAAATTTTATGGGTTTTATCTTAAAGGTTTTAAACACTTAAATGCGTATGTGTTTTTGAAAAGCTATTAAACACTAAGCCATAAATTACAATATCTATATATATGTATGTATATATATACAAAGCTACAAAATTTTGTATTTCCATATTCTTTGATTCTTTGCGTTCCCTGCTTTTCATAGCTACATAGTTTGTATTCTATGCATATCACAATGACTAGTTTGCTCAAGCAAAACGTGCATAAATTTTTACAAGTGTGACTCCCACACACCAAACATGGCTAATATATGTATAAGTGTCTTCTTCATTCAGCTTTTTTCAACTGACAAATCTATGATTTTTTTTTTTACTTATCGCTTATGCTGAGATATCGTTAGCATCATCAAGAAACCCATAAAAATATTGATGCTTTTCAAATTTGTCTGAACATAGACATACATACATACAAATGGAAAATGTGAGCTTGTTGGTTTTGTGATGCAACAATTGTTGCTAGCAGCATCGACAGCCACAATGATGACTTTTTAAATAACTAAGCACTTCGGTCTTCAAAAGGTTATTTATACAAACGTTTGCTAAAGTGCAATCATATTTTTTTTTCATATGTCATTGCAAGCATCTTTATGTGTGCATATGTATGTATGTATGTATGTATGTAAGTGTGTAAGTGCATGCATTTTAGCATATATACAAATATTTGCTTTACAAGCAACAAAATATTTCTAAAGTATGTACATAATAAAATTTTACTAGTTTATGTCGCTAGTTTGCTAGAAGAACATCATAATCTCTAAACGAAGTTTTTAGATGATTTATTAAGTTTTTAGTTAAGCGTGCAAAAATATCCCTCAGCACGTTTCCACGACAGTCGGGCCTACGTAACCGGAACGACCCAGATTTATATCTGACCAAGGACTGTCACTCCAGTTGTTTGCTGTTACAACAACAACAACAACAACAACAACATCCCTCAGCATTGCTTTTGGCTTGCGATACAAAAAATAACTACAAAGCGGAACACCTAGGTAAAAACTCGAAAGCCTTTTTCTCGCAATTTTGGATTTTTGAGTTATGACGTTTTCCTAGATAAAAATGGATCTGTATATATAAACGTAAAGTAATTTCGTTAATAACTTTCAGTCAGCTAAATAAATTGTTTTCGGTATATACTAGTATATGGAAATGCAATTCAAATATTCTAAAATATTATTCAATTTATTTTTCGATATTTTCAGAAATTTAATTTCTGTCGGACTCTTCTTTTTCTTCTTCTTCTACTTCTTATATGTCGCTTGAGTGAGTAGTTTATACGGCATTAAAAAGCTGTTGATAAAATCCAGTCTCATTTGGAAGTGACATGAAATTCGTCTTATGTGGTGTAATAACAAAAGACTTAAGGCACGAACTTTATTGTCGAATACTTTCTATGAAACGAAGTAAAATGCATATTGTACTTTTGCATTTAGGTTAGGTTAGGTTGTTGCGGCAGCCAGTTAAAATAACCATCTCGCTTAGATCCTGCAGGTCCATTGTGATACCACTGCGCAACACGGGCACTTCAGTGACTATTTTGAAATAGAACCATTTTTAGGCGTAGGATTGGCTTTATTTCTACACCGGATAATTCCGTAAAAGAGCTAAAGAAGAGCCTACCTACAAAGCTTGCTCTACTCTTCGCCAAAACTGGGCATTTGCAGAAGAAGTGCCCAACTGTTTTTTTCTTCTTCCTCATCTCTGCAACTTCTGCAATATTCGTGGGAGAATATTCCTAGTCTGAAGAGTGCCTATCAAATAACCAAGGTCAGGTTACACAAGCCGTTACCATCGCTTTATCCTCCCTTGAGAGGCCGAGCAGTTCTTTCATATTTTTTTTTTTAATCTAATTATGTCTATAGTAGCCTAGTAGTCCTACAAGTGCCCTCCTCTAAGCACCATCTATTAGCCTCTTCGTTATGAAGGTACACAGCCACCTCCTTTATAGCTGGAACTTCTGCCTGATAAACGCTGTAGTGGTCCGACATTCGTGCGGTTAATTCCAGTTCTAATTCCATAGAGAAAACTCCCTACTGTATAGCTTGGATACACCCGTGTAGAAATATAATTCCTCCTTATCCATAGTATTGGTGTTCGCTATTCTCTTCCTGATGGGATGCTCGCCTTAAAGAGCCTATCGAAGGTGGGTTTAGTGACGGAGTCGTCGATTTTTTCGTTACACTGCCCTTTAATACTGAACATCAAAAAATTATGGTCCGAAAATTGTAAGCAATTGGGAACAGTTTTTTTATACAAGGGCGCGCGATGCTTTTTTTTAAAGGAGATAAAAGGTAGGCGTAAACTTTAATATGCCAATGACTTGGATGGAACCAAAAATTCTGGGTATTAAAGGATAGTGTTGGGACTTTCATATCCTGACACACAGACAGATATATATCATCAATTGATTGTTTTACAGAGGTTAACATATGACCAAAAATGCATTTTTCGGCACCTTTAAACCTAAGTTCCTCGAAAACTAGAGCCAATAAAAAAAAAAATTCTACAAGAATCGGCTACAATATTTTAGTCAACAGAATTCAGTTGGGCAGTGTTATATAATGGCACTATTTTCCCCTCGTAGGCCATTATGCCAGCTTTCGAACCAATGTTTTTATTTTATCCCTATCGAGAAATTTACGATTTTTCCCATAGACACTCCCAAATTGTATACTGCGCGAGTTTTACTTAACATGAAGGAATGAAGTTCCAATTGGTATCGCGTTGTTGTCAAAAGTATACCTGAAGGCTGCATGACGAGGGATAAATTAATGAATAAGTACCGCTAATCTTATTTGTGCAATGTAGTAACGCCTTAAGACCCTATGACCCTATGGAATAAAAAACCTAGAATTCTTTCAAAAGCTTTAATGAAGTGCTGAAGAGGAAGCGTAAATTTAGGCAAACAACTTTAATCAACAACAATTTCTTGCAGCACACAGCCATAATACGCACCTTTTTTCTCTTGGCGATGCTGCTGTCCATCGATTGTGAAACCAAATTGGTAAGGTCGTTCGGTTGATGCTGCATCTGAATATGGCAAGTAGCCAGACAGCACCGTTATCTTAAAAAAAAAAA